TCTACATCCCCGCCTTCCCCAATGGTACCAACAGCTATTCCTCTTCCAACGGCGGCTCCACGTCCAGCTCGCCCCCCGAGTCGAGACGGAAACACGACTGCGTCATCTGCTTCGAGAGCGAAGTCATTGCGGCCCTGGTCCCCTGCGGCCACAATCTCTTCTGCATGGAGTGTGCCAACAAAATCTGCGAAAAGGAAGCGCCGTCGTGTCCCGTTTGCCAGACAGCTGTTACTCAGGCAATCCAAATTCACTCTTAAATATATACATAGGTGTTATTATAGATGGATTTTTAAAACTTTGAAAGGCATGGGTGTAACGGTACCCTCTAGTAAACTTCCTAATGAATTCTGACTGTTGGGCTTTCTTGGGATTAGGCTGAAGTTGTTCATAAATTTCCACTTTCTCAAAAGGCTGCTACGGTAACACTAAACCTAGGTGGTCTCTGTCCGGTTCGGCATGAGCAGATGGTGTGCTCAGCGGAGGGACGTCTGCTGAGATGTTTGCAGCACGGTAAGGGGAAGCTTTCATCAGTGACACAACGGGAAAAAAACCCCACAAAACCCAACGAATCTGCCGGGCTGTCGACAGGATCTCTGTTAAGCGGGTCGAGTTCCGCGTGCTGGCAGCAAGGAACCTCGTCGCCTGACCGCAGAAGTGCTCGCCCGCCGTGGAGGGCTTGTGGCATTATCCATCGATCAACCAACACTTCCAACGCTGCCTTCTTTACACTGCCAGTTTTGAAAAACAGGTTTGGGGAAATTCTTATTTTTATTTTTTGCTTTGTGCGACAACTTATGCCTAATTCTTCAGTGTTGCAAATACCTTTTTTTTTTTAAAAAAGAAAAAAACAAGCAGAGTTTGAATTATTGAAATGGATGAGGTTATGGGTGGGTTCATGTAACAAAGGGCGGGGAGGGGTGAGGAGCTGCCCGCCGCACCTCCGCCGAAGGGCAGCGTGTTCAGAGGATCAGGAGCGTCTCGAGCTGTGAAGTCCTGCCCGCTGCTTTTTCCGAGCGCGGCGTGGAAGAGCCTGGCCGGCTTCGTCCCGTCGCGGCGAGGGCTTTGGGATGCGCGGACTGCGACTGGTGGGGAGGATGCTGACATTCCGTTCGTTAGTCCGATCAGGCTGTTCTTAAATTACATTTTTAGCGAGTAGACAGTTCCAAAATGTGAAGCATTTTTATGTTCAATCCGTATTTGTCTTGCACATGTATAAATGTATATTTTTATTTTTAGTAAGGAAAAGGAAAAATAGAGGGGGGGAGTTGCGGACGTGCCCTTGTGTTATTCACGACAGCAGCTGTGACGGTGGCCCTGCAATCAGTTTACTTCATTTCAGAACCGGCTTTCCAATCATAAGGAAAAAAAGAAAAAGTCTTTGGAATGCGTTTCTTACATTTCAACCTGTGGATCTTTCTTGCCTTTTTTTTTTTTTTTCCCATCCTCAGTACCTTCCCAAATCTGTGCTGGCACCTATGAATACAACAAAAACAACAACAACAACAACAAAAAAAAGACACACAGTGGAGTTCTGGTGGATTTTTCTATTTTTTTTGAAGCATTATTTTCCCAAGACAAAGCTTTTTTCTCAGTATAACGAAAAGAAATTATATGTGTATTGAACTAGTAAATATACAGAAAATTTTATTTTTTATTTCCACTTGAAGAGTTACATTTCGTATCAAAGTTTACAAATAACGGTTTTTATTTTATGATTTTCAGTATAAGAGTTGCCTTGACGGCACGTTACGTACTGCATACCTTTAACGCTGCAATCGCTTGTAGGGTAGTTACATGTCAGTATTGAAACCTAATCTCTAGCTGCGGGCTTGTAGATACGAACAAACGCTCACCCAGCATGTATTTTGTATTTTATTGCATCGTACACCGCAACTAATAAGCCAAGGAATCGACAGACATTAGGTGCGTGTACCGTTTCTAGAAACCACAGACTTAAGGACGATAAAACTCTCGATCTAGTTTAGTATTTGCTAATTTTACTACACTTTTTGTTATGTATATGTAGGGAGGTCATAGGGATTATAAATTCAATTTGAGTAAAGTTTAAAAACCATATATTTTATGATAAAGGGCCTTTAACTTATGATGGCCAAAGCACTGATATTATATATTTGCTGTAAAGAGAATTATAAGAGTTTTATTTTTCTGATATTAAAAGTTACTTAATAAAGACTTGTTTCCATTAACTGGAATGTTTCCCTGTCTTCGTGGTTGTCGCTCGGAGCAGCCGAGCAGGCCGGGGCTGGCTGACTCCCCTCCTTCCACCCACCAAGGCTGGAACTGGTGGGGCTGGGGGACTTTACGGGCGCAGAACCTTTTTTTCTGGCAGGAGCTGGCTCTTGGCGGTTGTTGCGAGGTGAACTCCGTGCAGACATCAACCAGCATTAGAAATCACAGAATCACAGAGTGGTTTGGGGTGGAAGGCACCTTTGAAGGCCATCTGGTTTACCCCCCTGCCACAAGCAGGGACGTCTTCACCCAGGTTGCTCAGAGCCCCATCCAACCTGGCCTGGAATGTTCCCAGGGATGGGGAATATCCCGCCTCACAGGACAACCTCTGCCAGTGCTTCGTCACCCTCACTGTAAAAGATTTCTTCCTTAGATCCAGCCTAAATCTCCCCTTTCAGTTTAAAGCCATCACCCCTTGTCCTATCACTCCATACCCTTGTCAAAAGTCGCTCTCCAGCTCTCTCGCAGGCCCCTCCAGGCACTGGCAGCTGCTCTGAGGTCTCCCCACAGCCTTCTCCTCTCCAGGCTGAACAGCCCCAGCTCTCCGAGCCTTTCCTCCCAGCAGAGGGGTTCCAGCCCTCGGATCAGTGCTGGAGCAGCGCAGAAGGATCTCCTGATGTTCCAGCCCTCGGATCCCGTGGAGCAGCGCAGAAGGATCTCCTGATGCCGGGTTGCACGACTCTCTGTTGCCTTTCCTCCCGGTCTGATGGAGCTTCCACCCCATGCCTGGCTTGGAGTGTTTTAATGTTCCCTTCCAAGGTCTGCTCACCTTCCCCGCTTGCCATGGGCCGCCTGCTCTTCTCTCCTCTCCCCTTTCCACTTGGGTTTTGCCATAGGAAGGACCTAAGGACAACACCTTCGCCTGGGCGTTGCTGTGTGCTTGGGTCTTTTGGTGGCCTTCGTACGGGTCACTTCTGGCTCCCCGCTGAAGCATCCCTCCAGATCCCTCCCCAGTTCTCACCAGAGGCAGCGGATCCCCTCTGGGAAGGAGGTCTGCAGCAGAGCAGAGCCCCTGGGCCGCCGATGGGCTCTTCCCTGGGGCGGAAGAGAGCGATGGAGGAGAAGGCGTTTGAGGTCTGTCTGGCTTCAGAGGGGTGTGTTTATAGACCCTGCACACAGTGCTGCTGGGAAGCATTGAAGGGGACCCTTGGTGGGTCTTGATGGTGGGGTAGATATGGTGGGGTGCTGCTAAGATATTTTGACAGAACCTATTTCTGATTATTCTTTTTTTTTTGCGGGGGGGGCGTGTTCACTTCCCTGGCAGGGCGCACAACGGCACTGACTCGAATTCCTCCTGCGTGGCCAAGGGTCTGGGCTGTGGAGGGTGAGGTGCTTTGCCCCTTCTTCATCAGCGACTGTTCCACCATCCCTGGGGTGCGAGGAGGTGGAGGAGCCGGTGCATCTGCCCGCGGCCCTCGAAGCCACCCCCCTGCAGCTCGTGGCCTCAAACCCAAGCTTTCTCCTCGCTTTCTTCAGGAGGACGGGGGGGAGAATATTTCTCCTTCACGACGTAACCTGCTTCTTTCTACACCAACCGTCTGAAGTCCCAGCCCCTCCAACACGTTTTATTGAGCAGAGCGAGCTGCGCTGCAGTTACTTGGGATTTGCAGAAGACAGGCAAGGGGTTAAAAAAAAAAACCCACCCTCTGCTTTGCAATTTGTCATAGCGAGTTTCTTTTTTCCGTGCTCAGGAGCGCTTGTGATGGGTGAGTAAATCCAGCTGGAATTTGAACTCTTGGTCGTGGAGAGGGAAGCGCTCGCCACCGGGCGTCGGCATGAGCTGGACTGCCCCATGGCCAGCCGAGCTGCTCAGGAGAGCTGAACAATTTGATTTTTTTGTTATTGAAAGAAGCTTTAAGTTTGGTGGGGTTTGATTTTTCCCCCTCTCAGCCCTTGAAGCTTTCCCGGCTGGGCTTGGCGCTTGCCAGGGAGCCCCTGCAGCGGCTTTCCCCAGGAGGGGAGGGCTCTGGCGAGGCCGGGTGGGCATCAGCGAGGTTGGATTGGCATCGGCGAGACTGGGTTGGCATCAGCATCAGCCAGAAGACCCCCGGGACCTTCCTCTGGCAGGGTCTCTCCCATCCCTGCCCTCTTGCAACGGCATCTGCCTGGTCCGAAAGCCCAGTCACTGCCCCGGGAAACCTCCTCTGGCTCCTTGTCGGGGGAAAAGGGCTGGGAACCCTCTCCCAGCTGCCGGAGAAGGAACTGGGGGTTGTTCTCTGCTTCGTGTTGCAGACCTTGCTCGCCAGCCGCTGTGTGAAGCTCAGGGTGGGAAGTTGTGCCTGGAACAGCTTGTCCCCGTGCTCAGCATCTCCTGTCGGGGCCTGAAGAGCTGCCAGGGTTGGGCTGCTCTGGCTCCGCTGTCCGCAGGGTTCAAACCTGCTCCTGGGGACGGGCGGTAACGGCGCAGGAGCTGGCAACAAAATGCTTAATGCTTAAAAAAAAAGAAGAAAAATAAATCCCTTTCGAGCTTTATGCTGTTCTTTGGTTCCAGAGAGCAGTGGGGTTTGTGCTCCGCGATCCTTCCCCTGCTCGGAATCAGAACTCCCTCCTCCTCGCAGAGCGAGGATGCTCGCGGCGGCGGCAGCTCCGCTTCCCTCGGGATGAGACCGCCAACGCGTTAAGACTCAGGAGCCAAGCTGGCTTTTGGGGTTGGAATGGTTGGAATGGAGAGTCTGTGGGGGGACTCACCCATGGGTGGGTGAGAAAGCTCCCACCTCGGACCCGGCGTCCCGGGAAGGAGCTCCCAGCCCACGGGCACCTACTGGTCCCCCTCCCGCAGCATTCCCAGAGGTGCCGGGACCACCAGGCGCCGGGACAGCCGCCAGTGGGGAGCAGTTTGGGTGGCAGCAGGTGTAGGGAATCGCACGCGCCGAGGACGGCGGGCGACTGCTCCACAGGATGCAATACGGCACGGGGGTCTTCGGGATGGAGGGGAGGAGGAATGCAAAGCTGCAAAAGCCGAAGTCTGAGCTTTGTGCTTGGAACGCAACGATCTGAGGCGGAGCGA